TCCGGTGAAACTAAAGCAATCACAACGGGTTTGACAGGCGTTGTTGCGACATTAAAAGTGAAAGCCGAGGTTGCACGACTGGACTGATTCCCTATTAACAGCTGACTGTGCACATCTCGGCTTAGAGATTTAGGCAGCATTAACAGGCATCGCTATGAGGCGCAAATTGTTTCTTAGAGCTTTGGGAATAACATTCAGTTGACGTATTAGTCTGGCCAAATGGACAAATCAACCGGTTTTTCGTAAAGCTTCCTGAAATCATGACTCCTCGATCGGTTCCGAGAATCCAAAGGCATCTCGTTTGTGATCTCTACCTATGTTCAAAGTGATACAGCGAGCTCAATGCTTCAAGGTTCTGACACGAAGGCTCCCTCACACCACCATTTTAATCTCCATGGACTAGTGGCACTGAAAGGCAAGATGACCACAGAGAAAATGCGAGTCCGTTTCCTACGTGAGTACAAGTGATCAGATTACACGAAACGATGATATCTTCCAGTGCTCATCATTTTCTTGTTTTGTTCAAATCCGATGTCGTTATCCGTACTGGGAATTTGAATTTGCTTATCGGTCGTCTGTTTGTGAACAGCATTTTGGTGCTCAACACGTGTTCACCCGTTCATATAGCGTTCCAAAATTCTCACACTGTGAGCAGACCGTCTACCAGTGGAATCATCGATAGGGTGACTTTAGAGTCCATCAACTGGTGTGTAGCAGAGGGTGCACGAACCCCCCGCGGTTTCTGACAATCCATTTCTGCCGTGCCATTCTGTTTGAATGCTTTTTCGTGCTGAGCCCAGTGAGGATTGTTTACCGACACGTTGCCTTTTTGGACTGAGCGAAGAACACACTAAAGGCTATATGAATGAAAAACTCTCCCGGTGGACTAGATACGCCCGTGTCTAACGTTTCACTGTCTAAAAGCTTAGAACTGCATTAGAAATGCAGTGCGACAGCTTTCACTTCGTTCCATAGCTTCTGATTCTCATTTTTCCTACCCGGCTTTTAGTTTTCTGTCTAACTGGTGTCCTTGCTCAGTTTCCCCTTGGATAGTAGTAAAGGGTCTGTTTTAGAGACGAATCGTCGCAGTCAAACTTTCAAATAGGTACCACCTCGTTTTCCCATCTAATAATAATAATAAGAGCCATATTGATAACATGATTGAAAACAACCATTTCCACCTCTGGTCATCTGAACTCTCGGATTTTCACCTTCTCATCATCGGCTACGTGATCAGTACATGAGTACTCGAGAGGCGACGTCACTCTATCACAAACACGCACGATCAGCGCGTTGTAAACACATGCGAAACACATTGAGCCGCATTTCTACGCCACCGCTTTTTCTATTCGATCACGGCTTTCGGTCACTCGGAGTCGATAATCATAATCATCCCTGTTTGTCAACACTTGGTTCACCGTGACATGATTCGAGATTCTGTGTTCATGAGTCTTTCGTTGTTTCATTTTTATGCTTTTATTCATGACACATTTCGCATAACCCTTCACCCATCAACGTTAGACCTACTTTCGTATTGTTTTTGTTCATATGTTAGGACACTATGCCAGTTGTATTTCTACCGGTTACGTGTAAAGTATATGCTACGGGCGTACGAGTTGATCCGGGACTCTTCTAACTAAAAAGGTTTACAATATTTCAGTATACTCTCTACTGTAGTCCTACACCAATATTTGAAAATTCCAGGTACAACGAGTTTGTAAGCACGTAGAAACAAGGTTATGACAGCCTACTTCCTTTCCTCATTTTTGTGGAAGCATTGTCCTCCAGGAAATTTCTGTAGCGGATCATCAAATAGTTGAAAACCACCTCGCGCCAAGTCTGGACCTTGGGGAAACTGTGTCTTTCCAGTGAATACATGACGATCCTTCAGTTCAATGCAGAGCAGCTTGATTGCTTCGGTCAAGAACACAAAGCTGTTTCTGCGCCCACGCTAACTGTCACCAGCGAATGCGCGACGTTTGTCGTTGACAAGTTACTCAACGCACGGAAGTTTCTCAGGAACGACAACTATGCACTGGGATCCACCTTAATTGTGATCGGCAATGAGAAACGTAGGACCACTTTTGAAACGTTTGTACCATCCGTATGTCTGCGGCGGAGTGTTTTACCAGCACACTGACCGAATTATTTTGTAAATCCCTGTCGTTTTTGCCCCCTTCTCAGTCAAACATTATCTCGCAATACACTATCCCATGTGCAACATCACCTTTTCCTCGGTCATTTTGAATTACTTTATCCCAAATATTATACGAGTGTAGTGATCTCTAAAAATAACAGAACACCTTTGCTGCTTCCTGCGGCGTGCATAAGTGCCCCGTCCGGATTAGATTTTGAACCCGAAAAGCAGGTCCGGTTTGACTTAGCCTCATCAATTTGCTCTTCTTTTCGATGTCTATTCCTTCCATGTCTATTCTCTTCCATCCGATGTTTTGCAATAGCATTGAGCGTTTTTAATCCTTTGCTCTCGCATCTCATCATCACTCCGAATTCCACATCTTCCTTGACATTATCTTGTGACTTAGAATTTTGCGTGAGTGATGGACATCTCTAAACCCTAGGTGTCGTCGCCGCACCAGCTCGGTGTATCCCGTCTCCTTCATCGCCGCATTTTTAGTACCATCAAATGTATGTCTTACGTGACAGTAACTGTGTGTGTGTTTGTGTGTGAGCAGGACATGCTCAACGCCCACTCCATAAGTAATTCACACTGATGGCTATGCCTTGTCTCTTACACTTCAGCGTAGCAGCTGTCTTTCCGGCAGTCATGCTTCCGCTCCTGCTGTTTTATTGCATCCGAAATGTGGAATGCGAGGTCAGTTAAATGACAGACGTTCGTTTATGCGCGTTTTTTTTCCGAATCAGAGTCTGGTTAACCTGTGTTAGTAATCCTTTGAACCTGACTGGACGGGTCATGCGCGAAACGTGATATTTTATGCAATCCAAGCAGAAGAGGGTTCCGATAATTTGGCAGAAGCTTGCCAACTATGGAATCCGGAGGCTATCTCTTCACGACACCTACAGTAGTTTGTATGCGGCAGTTGACTGCCTGGATTTTGCACTTTTCGTTCTCAGTGGTGCCAGTGGTATTCTATTTCGTTTCACGTCAAATGTAGTTCTTGTGATTATGTCATAACATTGCGCCTCCTCATTCGCCAATTGGCATTTGAACCTCAGCTAATCGGCAGGTCCACTTCCACTCTGGCGCCTGCAGGTGTGATTAATCATGGCTTTCATGGGAATTCTCTCATTCGACTGGCTAGTTAGCTGCAATCAAGTTGACCTACTCCACACATCTTGTGATATTTTCGATCTTACTGGCATACTTACTGGCCAAACTGGTTCTCTGACCCCGTTTCGGACAGGTGATCTTTCCTTCTCTATGTAATCTCTCGACTGTGCAACATACAGTTCAACTGTGTGTTCTGGTCACTTAATATAACAGGATCGCATGGATAATTTTCCAAGTTTTCCAATGAAATTCCCAAATACATCTCCGAGTCATTCGATTAATTATGTTCAATAGACGTAGATGACTATCCGTGGAACCGTGCGCCCTCTGCCTGCTTCCGTGTGCCTAGTCTATCGAATGGTTTATCCGCACGTCCAACCTTCTCTCTCCACCCCAATCCTTATTACATAGACGTACTCCTTTGGCTTTGTTTGTCGTGTTACCGCAGCTCACAGTTGCCTGGTTTAACACTTCCTCCTAATCGGGCACTTGGATCCGTTTGTTGACGCCGTTTTATGCTGCTTATACTTTCATCTCCAAATTGTTCGTTGATTCTCAAAGTATTTCCTTTGATTCGTAATTTGTGCCCATGAGCTAGCTGTGTCACTTTTGCTCTCTAACGAAGAAAGGGATTTTCGTCCTTTGACACTTAGCTTTGCTTCCTCACTCTTTGGGTCCACACTTTTGCTTCTTCATCTCTGATGAATTTACGTACTTCAGCTTTCGTTGCTTCTATTAAAAGTTGCCAATCGACTCACTTTCTGGGCGGACCACACTTCTAGTGATTGTATCACCGCACTTATTATTATTTACAATCCTATGGATTTTCAAACCCTCAATCACTTATTGAGAGTGCGAGATGTACACATGTTGATTAAGAGTAGAGACTACAACGTTGTCGTACCCCCGCTGTTATCGTATGAATCTGACACGTGACCACTGTGTACAGCAAATGTTAGGGGATTCACCTTGTCCGAACATTGGTGTTTACGAATCATTACACATACTCAGTGGAGGAGGGCAGATGTGTCTTACTAAAGTTTCTTGTGTTGTATTCGTCAGCGGACTCAGGCTAACTCATTGGAGTGTATGGTAAACTCGAAAACCTTCGATGGCTCGGACACTTACTCCGCATACTATCAAGCCAGTCGCCTTGGTGTGTGGAGTTTGCCCAATTGCTCGTCTAGTCAATCAGCGATATGGCTTAGCTTAGAATGAAATTCACTAATCCACTGTTTCGGAATGTCGCTTGTTGTCTCCTCTGATGGGGTTCTTGGGATCAGACACGTCAGAGGTTGGACACCTTACCAGATTTAGCTGTGCCATGGAGTTAGTCATGCTTTTACATCCGAAACACCATTTAAGACCGTTGACTCTTCTATCTGACGGTATAAGCACTTGTTCATTGTTGTCGAGCTACTATTGTCATTTTTACTCTTAGGATTGTTATTATATTAGCAACTTCATCCACCTCACTCCGATGCACTGATCAAACCGAAAAAAATCGGACCGAACTTCTTACCCTTGCATTCACTCTATAAACACCATCTTTTATCTAATCCCGATTGTGATTTTCTGGTTTTCTTCGTCCATGCCATCCTTCTTTCCTAGTCCTCTACCACAGTCATATTGAATCGGCAAAGCTTACCCGGTTGTTTTTTCGTCGAATTTTCCATGTGATTAATTACTCCGTCATTCTACATGCGTGTTTTTCTCCTGATATCTGCTACTCACCCTTCTCGTTATCCAGCTGTCCCCCGTCCACATCGATACCCCGGGTGAGCGGAGCACCACGGATCCTCTGTCCACGCATACTCCGGGACAAACCTACTCGGGTGGTTGTTTCACCATATCGGGTAGTGAGCAGCGCCGTGTGTGTCCGCCCGGTGTAGACTATGGTCGCCACTACCCTGTCAGCTATTTGCAGCTCGCTGAGCGTGGCCTGACCGCCATCATGAGCGTGGAAGAGATCCCACTGCAATCTGAACGCGAGCACGCCTTACGCACTCGATCCCTGATGCGCACAGATTTTCACACTCCAGTCTTTCATCGCCTATCCCGTCGGGATGTAGCGTCATCATCTGGCACTCGTTTCACTTCACCATCAAACGGCGGACTACACACGGACTATAAAGATTCGGTGGATTCTTCCGCTAAGGAGAAGTTTCACACACTCACTTCTACGGCCTCCCGTGGTTACAGTATTACGGGTTCTCGCACTGCTACTGCTTCCCTTTGTGCGCGCCCCAGGCGAGATTTGTATGTTCGATGTCGTGAACTTTCCCCCGGTTCCGCTTCCTTGAGCTCCGGCGCGTTCGGATATCGCACACATCTCGATGGAACCGGATCATCGGTTCTACCGCCTGACACCCATTGGACTCGAGGTGAATTATGTCTCCTTGTTGCCTCGCTAATTTCGGATCGCTTTTCTCTGATTGTCACAGCTCTGCTGACAAGTCCTTGTTTTCCTTGGATGCGCAATCTCTGTCCACTAAATTCACTAAATTATTTATTCGCATGCGAACTATCCTAACCCCGTTGTCGAATTGCTGGCTGGATGCTTGTTATTGCGTACCGAGAGCGTTGATTGTTACTTTCACTGCACATAGTATCACCAGTTTGATATCATAGTGGCAATAGTCTACCCACTGGACGCGTATTCTTGCCGTTTTCCTCATGCTGCGGATAACATGAGGCATATCTACAGAGATATCTGTTTACCTTCTTGTAAGCGCTACATGGATGACACACTGGCTTTTTGTTCGTTTAAGCAGCACACCATACCGTTAGTGTGGCATCTTAACTGTGCACATTCCAACTTGTAGGTCACTCATCATCATCATCAATACACGTTAGCCGAGGGTGAGAAACACACCTCAGCTAATGTGTCTCAATATGAAAAGACAAGAGACAATACAACCTAACAGGCTATAAAAGTAACGTAATGCTAAGGGTCGCATGATGCATAGGGTTTGAGATCGTTGTTGGAGGGGAATGCCTCAGGGAAGGGGAGGGACCAAGAGACTCACAGTACAAACGCCACAGAAGTCGTCCGTTCTCCATGTCAACTAGTGTATCCAATCAAACGTGTTCATCATCCTTCGGTCCTCTCCCAGGCAGTCGGGAAACACCAACCGACACCAAGTTCCATGCGATGGTCTTCATTTCTTTTGACCAAGTCATCGCTTGGCCTCACGTCCTCTTCTTCCATCCGAACCCCTGGCGTGCGAACAACACACGTCGCGGGAGTCGGTGTGCTGGCATGCGCAACACGTGGCCTAGTCATCGGAGCTTGGTGCGTGAAATAAGCTAAGCGGTTCACTCGCTTTTCTGCAACAAATACGCTGCGCTGGACACGCCCATGGCTCACGCGGTGTTTCCACCAGACATGAGCAATGCTGCGAAGGCAGCAATGGTCGAACGCACAAGCCTCTTTTAGTCTGTCGACCTGCTGGGCCAGGTTTCTCAACCGTGCAAATGGGTTGAACGGACCGCTGCATTGTAAACTCTGCCATTCAGAGCGAGAGCAATGTCACGCCGGCGCCACAGATGGCGGAGATTGGCAAAAGCGCCTCGAGATTATACGGTTCGCTTGTGAAGTAGAGCAGAAAAACTGCCTGACACCATCCTTTGACAAGCTGATCAGACGCACGGAGAACGAACTCATTAAGAGGGCTATACACAGAAAAACAGCGCGGTCCTACCTGCACTTCACCAGCTTCACCTTTGGGCGGTACAAGCGTGCAATTGGGAAAACTGTAGTCAGTCCCACTGGACGGATTTGCTCTGCTGGTTGTCTAGCTGGCTATCTAGGGTTAAGTACAACCACACTCATGGAGAATAGTTATCCTCGCAGATTTATAGCGAAACACAACCAGCAATGAGACCGGAGTTATGGAAAACCTCTCTGTCGAGTTACATTTGAAGGATAACTTTATTATGTTGAAGATAACGAAGCGTATTATCTCAGCTATATAGGGAGATTTTCATGTCTCAAATTGCTCTCTTGAACGGAGCTCCAATTTTACTGCTACCCTCAACGCAAAAACCTCAGGCGATCGAGGCCGACTTGCACACACACACACACACACACACACACACACACACACACACACACACACACACACACACACACACATATCAGAGCCTATACGAAAGCTGATTTGCCAGGTGTAGAAAATCTCGCCATAGTAGGTTCAGCGTGAAATTGTCGTGCATCTTTGCCCCCACACCCCTCATGTTCGCGTAAACCACCGTCTTCGCCGATAACTAAGCACATGTGTCACGTCACATGAAGTTCCCATTCCATCGATTCTTGGCGACAATCGAAACTTTTCAGATGAGGGTAGCCCTGTGCGTTGTAATACAGTTGTCTGTTTGCCTTAGACTGCCGTACGATTTCCGTTCATTCACTGGGCACCTCAAACTTGTTTGGTCACAAGCATCATTGGGTTATTGTTATTGGTGGCAATACGATGATTGTCTCTCTACCAGCTTCACACTTCTTACCTTATTTTTCACCCTGCTGAAGCGGATTAGCAACTCCAACTATTTCGATCGTGTACATCAGATGAATCTAAATTGCTTTGTTATCCTCTACTGTCAACATCGTCATTCTTGCTAGCTGGAGTCCAGTAAAATATAATAAAATAAATCGTCAGCTGTACGCCGTAACGGCGCTTCGCTGCCACGCGACCACCACCATTCGCGCATGGGCTGAGCATACCGCGTGGACGCCCGCCCCTACGCGAATTCGTAACAGTGACCTTATGGTTGCAAAACCCGCTGCCTTGCGTTCAGGATTTTAAACAAAATGCTTTGGTTGAGAACCTTAATCTTTCTCCTGTCTCGGCCTGGGCAACCTGACCGTATCCTGCGCACGCAATACAACATGATTTCTCCTTCCTGACTTCTTAATAATAATAGTAAGAATAATAATAATAATAATACGTACATTTTTTATCAATGGTTTGCAATTTCCCCTCACTTCCGTACCATTCATTTGCTTTTCTTATTGAGGAGCAAGTGGATTGACCAATTCAGGACCTAATTTAAAACCGAATTATCCTAAGCAGACATTCACAATCCGTGCAGGCATGTGGTCATAACCGGCACTATCTTTCTAAATCGGTTTTGGAAACTCGACTTTACCTCATGTAGATGACTGGCGAAATCCGCCTCCACATTGATCTATCGCTGTCACTGCGAAATAACTTAACTCTCCACAACACAAATTACGACCGACTGCATTCACCGTATGGTGAATATTTTTTGACAATTTTCAACTTATATGCAGCAATTAAATGTTAAGTGTCTGCTCGCCCACCCGCCCACCCTTAACACTTCGCTCCATGAATGATTTCACACTTGGACGTCTTACGAAACACTGGCAGCTCGGGTTGGATGTTCAATTGCTGCGGAGTACGCCGAGCTGAGCGATTTACTTTCAACTGTTTCGTCAGCAGTCAATTAATTGCCTTGCACCACCTTCTAGTTCCAAACCGCTTACTCCCACCCACTGGTGTTAAAATGTCTGCAAATTGCTCAGCTCGGAGACAGTTAGACTGTGAATCCAGGCGAACTGATCGAAAATGAATCAATGGAGCCTCAACACAGGAAAGTTAATTTATCAGAAACGGAGTAGAAAATAGACAATGATGCTAACGTCCATTTTGGCCGGAATATCAGGTATTTAATCCAAGTGCAATCTATTTAAAATTCTGCGTACGTATACTCTGATCGACCAACCGCTACATCCCACATCTTCCGTGAAGAATGTTGGCGTATCCTCACGTTGCGGCTTGAAGTCCGTCGTCCACATGAACAAGCTGCGCATGCTTTGGGCGCTCAAACACAATTTCTGCACTTGGTCTGCAGAGATTACCACTCGCCTCTTATTTTCCATCACACGGCTACTGTTGCAGTATGGCTCATTCGCATGTTGTCCCATCGCCCGTCTCGAGGTTCAAAAACTGGAACCTTTAACATGTGGCTACCAGTTTACTGTGTATGTCGTACGAAGGCCGATGCAGGAGAGTGGGGCTGTGCACTCTGTTGTATTGTCATTTTCGATTAGACCTCATAATAACGTGCTGGCAATTACGTCTGCGTGACTTCCCTATGCTGACGTAACTTCCACACGTGCGCGTATCGAGTAGCTTTCGCCGGCATAAGCACCTTTTTGCTGCCGGACTTGAACCGGATAGCTCATCCTCTATGCTTCTAATGTCGTGTGGTGAGATATCGGAGAAGTTTGCCTGAGACAACAGCCGATGTGAAATCCTTGTTGAAATTCAAGAAAATCCTGCACGCTCACTTTGCGGATTACAGATTTCGAAACCCCATCGTCCCTGATATAACGTCACACGGCCGAGTTGCGTTAACAGTCCGCGGTATTAGATGACCTTATTCTTCTTGTGTTTCGGATAATATATTGATGGAGCAACGCGAATGTGTCAGTCTGTATTCATTTCTTCCCACATAGAGTGTAATAAAATATATATCTAAACCCATCACTTTAAACAGGTCGTTATGACTTACCGACCATTCTACATCATCCGGCGAACAGATGGAGGAGAAATGTACTTTTTTGATTCCATCTTTGATTTGCACTGTACTGCCCATGGGTCCCATATGCCGTGAGACATGTTGCTCAATGCAGATTGGAGCCACGGTTTATTAGGAACCGACCAACACCCACTTCTTCGAACTATTATACATTAATTTTAACTGGTTGATAACACGTCCACCAGAACGGTGACCTGGCCGATGGAAACGGTGCATATATATGGTTGGCGGCATCCGGTTTCAGATTTGCCTGTCGCTGTGGCCAGCCACAGGACGCCTGCGCCTACAGAGGGACTATGGATGGCTTGCGCTGCACCACCCACAGCTCCATCCACACACCCAATATCCAGTGTAAACCCGAATGAATAAGACCGGGAGACATGTGGATGGGAGCCACGTTTCATCAAGGGACCTGGCCCACACTCCTTCACATGCAAACACAAGCACACTGTATTTGGGAATCAAGCACACACAAGGCGGTGGCTGGACCGTAATCCACTCCACACTGACTGCATGGAACCACTCTTCGAGCCTAAGACGGCCACAAGGACCGTGCACCCCGTCCCCTCCAGCAACAACCAACTGTCTCCTGGAGCCAGTATGAACGAGGTAGTGGGTAATAGACAGGTAGGCACCTTGTCAACATGCACATCAAGCGCAGCCACATCTGGGATGTCAAACAACAGCCAATCATTCGAAATGCCTATATCGAGTAAATTAAACGCATATGACGACAATAAATACTCGCTAAATGAGCGTATAGAAGAAATTGGTTACAAGTGAATCCGTGATAAGTACAAAATGTCCGAAAGTTATT